GCATGTATATGTAAGTGCGTGGCAGTGTGACTGCTCAGTGGAACACGGGAAGGGGGAAGTCGGTCGATGCCGTGGAACCGTGGCACGCTGGAATCACATGCACATCAGCATGTATCCGCGTGCTCGGCCGAGCTGCTCACTCGGCAACGCGCTCTCACCTCCCTGAGTGAGTACAATGCCCATGGTGTTTCAGATCATGCTTCCTTCCAGGAGTGGATCAAGAAATTTTTCTTAGGGGGAGGGTGAAATGCGTGATGGTACTTACATACCAAATTGCGAACATTTTCACAGGTATTATTATAAATCGACGTATTAAATACATTCGAACAAATTTTTCAGAATGTGGCATATTTCAAATTTTATTTTCCTTAGGGGGAGATCTCCATCTAGATCCGTCACTGTTTCCCCCTTCCTCAAATGGATAAAACGTACAATATCAAAATCGATGTCGAAGTTGTGGGAAAATGACGGGATCCTTTATTACATTGGTGACCGTGACGAGAAAAAATAAGCACGTGAAAAGATAAGGAATGAAAGGGATCGAAGAAACTTTACATCATCGGTGTGAGGCAAGACATTAGTGTCGATGGTAGATATTTTCAGTTGTTCTAGAAACTTGTGATGCATGGACGAAAGAAAAATTTGTGTTGTAATGTCGATTTCGATGTTATTCATTCAAGAGACGTAGAAATATATGAAATATTGCAGTAAACGAGGAATTGCACTAGTTGGAAATTACTAAAATTCAACGATACGAGATTTCGATCAGACGATATAACCTATTAGACCTTCCGGAAAGCATTACAGTTAATTGCAAGTTAATAACGGTACCTGTTACGTGATACAGAACGTTTTGTAGTAGCTCAGTTTAGAGACTGGAGTTAGTAGATATACTGCATCGTGACGTAATTGTAGCGAAAATAAATTTACCAAGAATTGCTTTTTAAGGGTCACATTATAGAGTTCGTTTCATCGAGTGTTACTTTGCTGCCAAACGCTACGCACCTGGCTAGTATAACTTGGTCTTAACGATCGACTACCATGGAACATTGTCCAAATGGAATAATACAATGATTAAATAAAGAGCTTAATTTCTATTGAAAGCATTTATACGTACGCTGTAGTAAATCAACGATTTTAAATGAAGTCATAACTAGAATTATATGCATTACATCAGTTTAAAAGTGAGACATCAACATTTATAGTTTTATTGGAGGAATATTATCGAGAAGATCAATTCAGAAATTTATTTTTGCCATTTTATATATTTCTGTTCGATTAGAATTGCATGGAAATACACTGCAGTATTCAATGACGTAATTCTAAAATTGCTAAAAAAAGTTATATCGAAAAAGCATTTTATTTCTTGCTTGGGTCTATTACCAAACCGACGCATTCTAAATTTTCCTTATTAATCGAAAATCTTTAAATGAAGACTTTGAAATAATCATTATCAGAAATAATGTGGAGATAAGAATTGCATATTCTGAAATACGAATCAGCAGAACTATCGAACGAAAACCAACATTCTTTGCGTTTACTAACATAAATAAGTCGACGACCTATCTTAATGTTAGAAAGTTACGACGAGGTCTTGAACCTCTTTGCTTGTCAGAAACAAATGAGTAATTAATGAATCGATTAAAGAAACGATGCAGCAAATGTTCTTAGGAATGATTCATACAATTGCTTATTCATGGTTCTCACCTATGACAATGCATCGTGAATTTAACTCGTTTCTTTCATGACATCTTTATTTTTACACGAAATCTGCTATTCTAGTTAAAACCTGTACATAATATTAACAAACGTATTTGTAAATCAAAAAACCATAACGAACCGCAGATCGCAGGAATAACATAAAATGAACTATTCAAATATGTATATTGGTTAAAGAGACGACATAAATGTGAAAACATTCGGTTCGCGTGGAATAACAGTGAACATATAATTCTCCAGATTAGTTACCAACCCTAAAAGTGTTTATCGACATATTTATATATTTAAGTCTTGTGATAAAACTATTATAAAAACGAAGAAGAACTTAATTAGAATTTAAACAGCTTGCAAAATTATGGATGGTGTGGTCACATTTAATCAGCGATAATTTTTCTAACCTTGGTATTATGTTTCTTACACGCGTTGAGACAAGTAGAGTAATCCCTAGACTGCCTACAGCGCAAGCTCTACTTTTGTTTACGCTGTCACAGGTCGATGAATGCGCCTTTAAAAAAATCATTTTTTGACGAACGCATCATAGTCTTTCGTGAAATCAAGTATTCCGTATGCCCATTGTGAAGTGATTAAATAACGACCGTTTGATAACGTGACGCGTTTCTATGTTTGCAATCAGCTGTTCAGAAAGCGTCATTCAGGTACTTAGAATTGGCACATTGTTGACGCTATCAGTTACATGAAAGCATATACATACACGTAGACGTCAATGTTTGATAGTAACTTTCTTTTCTACCTTACTGTACTACTTCGCTACTACTTCGACAATTAATAAATTAAAAGTTGAGTTAAGAGACAAATAGTTATATGATAAAAATGATTCTGTTTAATATTATAATGATTGTAATTAACATAATTAGAGGTGACTGCGGTTTATTTAAAAATCTGTTTATGATCATCGCATTGCATTTCAGTTATTAAATAGTCAAAAAATTTGCAAGATAACCAATATTTCGAAGTTGGCAAAATATCAATAAAAATTCAGAAAATGCTGTTATCATTCGTAAAACAAGTCAGTCTATTTAAACACCAAACATTTAAGTATAATATCAACATCGACCTTTTTGTTCAACGAGATAAAGAAAAAATTAACCTTTTCAATATGCACTTACTCGTATTTTGTATAAATAATGCACACATAATAATAACGAACATTAAAGTATTTAATGATTACAAAATTTAAGCACTTTATGCAATACCTTACGATTATCCACAATAGGGACATTAATTTTGATACGACTTTATAAATGATTATTCTAGGAGGCGATTTAAATCTATCTTACCTTAAAAATTAACCCTTCTGACAATATCGTAGGTGATGTGCAGCAATAGAACTAGCAACGATGATTTTTTTTCACAATGAAAAGATAATTAAGTGACGTTTTCACGAAAATGCAAACACGTAACGCGGATGATCACACGACAAGCCTTCGTAATATTCTGACAGATTTATCGTGGAGGACACAATAGTGTCCAACGAGGGCGCTTCACGGGAAATCATCATCGCGCCGACTCCGAAAAGTCTGCAAATCCAGCTTCGAAGTACAACCCATGGAAGGGATGTCATCGATCGCACATACACAAGGCATAGACCCTGTAAGTAGCAACCCCTCTACCTTATTTTGTATTTTTTATACCAGGCGAGTGCTACTTCTGCAAGTGGAAAAATCTGAACATTTTGAATCACCGAATTTATGGGGCTAGATTATTACTGTGTTGTTGCTTTATAAATATTTTCGCGGTCATTTTATACTATTACTCAAAGTATATTGTTGTTTATATTGAATTTCATTTGTTAAATATCTTATTCATTTTCTGACTTCTTAGGTTTGAACTTCATTTTAAGAATATCATGTCGTACTTTACAGTTTAAATGTAAATATTGATAAGGAGATTATTGAAACGGAAATTAGAAAATGTTGCATCACGAATGAGATATAGTATAAACTTAATAACTAATGCACTTTTGTGTTATATAGTCTGGGAGCTTTAGAGTTTATTTAATATTTTTGTACCATTTCCAACGTTATATATTCTCGAAATATTTGTAACGTAATTTAAATCGATAAATTACGCTTTCGTCCCCCAAACACTTAGAATAAATTGTAAATTGTTTAGGTATAATATATAGTACTCAGCTTAGCACCGCTTTCCAAAAATATAAACTTTGATAAACGCGACCAATTACTACATTTCATCTCAAATAAATCATAACGCAATAGATCTACTAAGGATTCTAATTCCAGTAATCTTCCAATACAACAGTTTAAGCATTCAAGGTATAGTTAATGAAAATACATACCGAGATCAAACCATTTGACCCATAGATGTACGTAAAGAGCAACAGACTGAAATTTTGATCTTGGTCCAATGGGTTTTTAAATAGGATTTTTTAACAGGATACTTAAACATTCCAAAATTTTAAACTTCGTATAATATTTTATATTATATTTAGCAGCATATGCTTGATGTTTATTAACATAGTTGAAATGCTTTAAATGGTGTTGACCAGATTTATCAGCTAACCCATTACTATTCTAATAGTATAATAATCATCATCCACTCTATACTGCTTAAATTTGTAATTCGTTTTATGCGAAATTAAAACGGCAAATAAAAGCGAATTGCTACTTTAGGAGCTTTATGTAAACTGCGATATCTTGCATAACTCATACGCGATCTTACGATTGTTGTTAGTATCACAAAATGATTTGTTTATAATAATAGGCTATAATGATATTTTTAATAATTTGCTACAATATCTTGACATGATTTATATAGTTTTTAGAATTAAAGATACATTTACTTTTGACATATAAAAATCCTGATTCTTATAAAAGTGTATATAAAACCGCAAAGAGAAAATGACTCAAACATTATTTTAGTATATAACAATTTATAAGTTTACAAATTTTGCTATAAATTCCTACTAATTCTAAATTCTAGTAGTTTGTAGATTTGGTATTTACACTTATGGTTATTTTATACTAATAAATGCAAAATATACAATCATAAGGAAATAAAAGGATACATGCATGAGGAAAAAGGAATTGTAATGTGATTTTTGCTTAAATATTTTCAATTATCATTAAAAAGAAATAAAATTGTATTTATTAAACGTTAAACATGCAAATATTACAATAACTCGTTTTGGACAACCCAAACAGATTTTCTTTCTTGCAATATATTATTTTATAATGGAATTATTTGCTTCCACTTGTAAACATTTTGTTCAATACTGTTTTATGTTAATGAGAAATTCTGATGATCGCATGAATTTCACATAGATGTTAGTAAAAATCTAAAACCGATTACTGAAATGACATTATTTGAAAGTAAAATTATAACTTATAACAATAATTACAAATTTGTAATTTATAATATAAAACGTGTAATGGTACATACTGATTATTCTTTCTCGCCTTCCAGTTGATAATGATAGCGACGTAAAGCAGCTAAGCGTAATCTTTCAGCCTCCAAAGCTTGCTCTAATTCCAACACACGTACTTGTGCTTCCATTTCTAATCGTTTGGCATGGTGTAGACTTAGTCCAGAAATATCTAAATCATCTGTAAAATATTAACAATATTAATTTCTTATTATAATTATAAAATATAAAACAAACTTCAAAAGTAAAATTACCATTTTCTTCAACAAGTTGACTACAGTTCTTAGCAGTTGCAACAACGCTTCCGGTTGCTTGTGTTACATTCCTTGAAGCTTCAGACAATGCAGTTAAATTACTACTATTTCTATTAGCTTTTACTCTACTCGCGACTACTAATTGCGCTGTAGACGCAGCAATTCCTTGTGATGCAACCACTAACTGTTCGAATTTACCATTCCCAGAAACAACTTTATCTGCAGCTTCTCTAAAAATATTACAAATATTTAAAAAATTTTGTAAATGAACAAAAGTTACAATAAGCTATTTATGCTTACAACAGAAGATTTGCACCCATTGCTACTGCTTTTGCTGCCGATATAAGTCCTTCAGACCACTGATGATTACGTTTATAAAATTCTGTTTCTGAAGCAGTACCCTAAAATTCAAAATATGTGTTTGTAAATGTTTATATATTATAAAGTACTTGAATTACATTATGAATTAAATGAACTACATTAAAAATTAAATATTAACCTTTCCTTGCTCTACAATTTCTGCTTGTAATAATCGCGATTTTTTAACTAAATTTCTTATACATTTCATTAATTCTGTACATGAATCTAGAATTTTTCCATTCACTTCTAATTTTAATCCTGAATCTGCAGCACGAGATTTTTCCAACATATCCTTAAATCAACATAAAATACACTATTAAGTACAAGAAAAGTATATATTGATTGTTATAATAAAATATAAAAAACAGTTACTTGTATTCTATTTGCAGCTTCTTCTATTGCTTTATCCATACTAAATAGTTCCGTCTCTACCAAATTTCCGATAACTTCAACATTACCTTGTACGTTAGACAGTGTAGCAGCAAGTTCACATACTTTTTTAAACTGCAGTTTTACTTCATTAATTTGACCCACAGTCACAGGTGATTTTTCTCTTACGTGATTGAACATAGTTAATGACTGCAAGCCTAACTGTTTGCACTCGTCAGTCAATTCTACGATAAAATAAATACTCAATATATAGTTTTTAATTTTCTCGTAATACCTTTAAGTTGTAACTTACTATCGCCCAACGCAATATCAATAGATGTATTGGATGTAGATTTGGCATGAATGATATAAAGCCCCAGAATATATGCAACGTGTATTGCATTTTTGATGAGCACTTTGCCATTCGTTGTATCGCATACGTAACCAGTGTACGCTGCATCTAGAGTATCTAATGATTTTAGAATCGAATCCTCTAATTTTTCAAGATATTGAGTAGTGCAAGTTAGATCTGACATTGCTGGATTATCAATAGCATTCAGTGAATATTGCATAATATTTTCCGCCTCAGAAATACAATTTACTAAAATAAAAATTCATTGTCCCAGATAGATGAATACAAATTATTTCCATTGTTAAACGAATTAAAGCACTTACGCAATAATTCATGCAACATAGTGTCAGCATACGTATTCATTTCATTACGGCATCGTTCAGCTTCAACTTCTAACTTTTCAATTTTTAAATCTAGCTCTTCTTTCTGTGCTAACAAATCGTGTAGATCCCCTTCTAAAGCCGTTTTTTCAGAAGTTATAAAATCATTTTTGGCAATCAAAGCCTAAAATATTACATCTTTACCGGAACGAAATAAAAACAAACGTAAACGTAAACTGAAGAAAAAGAATGAAAGTATTAACCAAGTTTTCAGTTTTTGTGTCATTCAATTGTTGTTTCACATCATCCAAATCATGTTGAGCATCAACAGCTTTTTGTGCTTCCTGCTCTGTTATAGCTTGACCCTGTATTAATTCTTCAAGGCGGCGTTCGGCTTCAACTGTTCGTCGTTGAGATTGTTCTTGTGACATTTTCAACATTCCTAATTGCTTATCCACTTCAGCTTTCTATTATATAAAAATATGTGCAAATTCAGTATTTATTTAATACTTTCCGTTATATTTAAAAAAATGTAAACAATTCTACCTTTCTAATTAAATTGATATGTTCTTCTCTAAACTTTGAATATGCATCTTTCAATTTTTGAAATTTTTCTTGTAAAATTTTATATTTTTCTGAAAAGAAAAAAGAAATTGTAATAAGAATACTTTCAACAATATTTTACGAAAGACAAGCGAAAATAAATGCTCCAACCTTCACTTTCATGAACTTTCACCATCATATCTGCTTTCTGCTTCACAAAATCTTGATTAACTTGCTTTTCCTGTTCAATTTCATTACACTAAAGGAGTAAGAAATATGTATGTTAAAATAGCATGTTTACAATAAATGTATTAGCAGGAAATGAAAATACATTTACTTTAACAAGTAAATCCGATTCTAGCTGAGTAACGCGAATTTGTAGATCTCCTACAATTCGTTGATGATCAGTCAATACACGATGTAATTCTTGTCTTTGACGATTGTTCTCTTGCTGCAAATGGTCAATGAGACTTTCTCTAGAACAACAAATGATTATATCACATAACTTTCAAATTTCAAATATATACTGTATATGCAACTAATTTCTATATGTACCTTTCCGCTATTCCATCGGGTGAAATCGACCCATTTCGCGTAGAATCTAGTTGATCGCCTGGTAACGAATTTGTATCAGAAGTATCGATGAGACTATCAACCACGGTTTCCGAATCTAGAGATTCTTCAGGTGGTAATACTACTATCGGTGTAACGTAAGTTCGTAGCTCAGACTGTACCAAAAAATTTGGTGGATTCTAGAATGAAAAAAAACCACATGTTAAATATAACTCGTATTAAAAATGATCTATTTACCAAAATAATAAAATATACCTCAGGTAACGCAGGTATTGTTATAAGATGCTTAAAATACTGCCTTTGTTTAACAGTATTGTAGAACTTCTTCAGTTCTTGAAACTGTTTAGAAAATCTATCGCGATGACCAGTTAAGGTATCCGCAGGTAAAGCACCGTGAAGTTTAAATAGAATTTTTACACAATAATCATAAAGTTGTGATGCATCTAGAACGCACGGAATTAACGGAGCCAGCCGACACTGTCCACTGACAGTCATTGAGTTAGAGGGTGTGTTCTTCAAAGAAGTGGTAACTGAAACGTTTCATTCGAATAAATTAATACGATGGAAATTTCTAATGTTAACATAACGGAATTTTGCGACAGGTTTGGTCAGGAAGTGGTTACTAAAAGCGATACACTCAATTACTATGATATACGAGACGATGGTGTAAGTATACATATATCTGGAACGATCGGTTTAATTGTACCTATTTGGTTATTTGAGCACCGCAAGATATCGCGATCTCTTTTTATAATTTGTATAATGTTGAATTTAATCAAAAATACAAAACTGTTGGTAGCAGATTTTTCGTCGGTAATACACGAAATAAAGTAATATTACCGTCGTGTAAACTGTTCTGTTCATCCGTCAATGACGCCTCTGTTCATTTATTCAGCATGCAAATCTCGATTTAACCGGTCTGCCTTGGTTCAGTTTGATCTGGATAATCGAGATTCTAGTAGATTAATTACATCAGTGTAGG